CGCGCGTGCACGAGGACGCCGCCGGCCCCGTTCCAACCGAACTGGTTGGAACGGGGCGAGAAACCCACCCCTGCTATATATCTACTTGAATGTTTATGCTTTTGAAGTGCTAAGTTCCGTAGCTAATGAGCGAAGGTTCTCCGGTGGTTAGAGTGCAATACTACAGGCTATTTCTGCTGATCACCGGCTGCCAGCAATTTGGCAGATCGAATCTAACCAGGCTAAAAGTTAATTCAGCCTTCCATCCTTCCGAGGTGGGCAAAATGAGGACCCAGATTGTTGGGGGCAATAGGCTGTAAATCGCTTAGAAAGGGCTGTAAAGCACTATGAAGCAGTATATAAGTCTGCTATTGCTAAGTGCTAAGTAGGCAGGAGCTGGGGTGAAAACAGGAATTCACATTGTCCCATGGCGCTCAGGTTGCAAAGCTGGGCTGCCAGCTTTCCAGAATGACAAGCCCAGTGTCTTAACCACTGAACCACCACACTGCCCCATTATGGGAAATACCACATTGATGTTTACTCTGATCCAGCAGGAATCTTCTTACATTTCTGTAGAGTAGAAAGCAAATTTCAAGAAAAGAAAAGAAAAAGTGTCCCACTGGTGTGAGTATTGACCTGTTCTTTCTCTCCCCAATACAGAGCTGCACTGACTGTTGATTTCCAAGCAGAAATGGATACTTCCTTCTTTAAAGCCACTCTCAAAAGCCAATCAGACATAGAAATGGGCACAAATGTTAACATTCTTGCAAGGCTTTCTTTGGGCCCCATGCTCATGTGTCTGCAACTTGCAGAGCAACCAGCCTCTTACAGGTAAACTAGATATAAATTTTAAGCCAAGGCACTATGGCCGTGATGGCAAACCTACGGTACACATGCCACAGGTGGCACACAGAGCCATATCTGCTGGCACGCGAGCCGTCAGCTCTAGCGTGCATGCATATGACAGCCAGCTGATTTTCAGCCTTCTGGAGGGCCGGGGGAGGGCGTTTTTGCCTCCCCAGGTTTCAGGAAAGCTCCAGAGCCTGGAGAAGGCAGAAACAGTCTCCTCCGGGCGCCCCGAGGAAAAACGAAGCTCAGCTTGAAGGCGAGCAGTGCGGTAAGCCTGGGGGTTTGTGCGGGCATGTGGGACAGTGGTGGGTTTCAAAAATTTTTAGAACCTCTTCTGTAGGTGCAGCCTGCTTTGTGGGAGTGGTTTGCCAGCCATGTGACTGAGTGGGAGTGGTGTGGCAATCACGTGACTGGGTGGGTGTGGCCAACTTGTAAAATGTGGTGAAACTCACTTAACAACGCTCTTGCTTTGCAACCAAAATGTTGGCTCAGAAACTCTGGCATTTGAAGCAGGCAAGTCTTAAAGCTGTCAAGTTACAAGACCCTTGCACCCCTAACCCTTTAGANGTGGACCTGAGCGTTTACTGGCTGGATGCCCTTCCTGATATCTACACGGAGTTTACAGCAGATATTTCCTCTTTGCGTCCCGAGACAGAAACATATACTGCTATCTAGGATCAATTTCTCCCAAGCATCTTCACCATTAGGCCACCATACCACTCAGTCATAGAACTGTTGATGTAGGGGAAATAGGAGGTAGGATGATTAGCTATATTCATGCTTTGATTGAACCAAACTAAAAAGGGGATTTTAAAATATCTAATGATTAAATAATGCTCCCGTTATCCCTTGCCCTTTTCCACATAGATCTGGCAGAAACAGGAGTTTAACAATGTCTTGAAATATAGAAAACCAGCATGTCAAGGATGTAAGCTCATTTGAATGGAAGAAAAGTTGCCATTCAAATCAAGTTATTGTCATTGCACTAAAAACACCTATGGTTTGTATCTGCTTTCTGTCACCAGGTTAAAAAGGCAATGAGACGCATTTTCCATCAAGTTCAGAGAAAGTACCAAAAAAATTCAAGGTTGGCAGCTGCAGAAATCCTCTTGGATAACAGTCCCTCGCACACAGATTTCATCAATATCCTGTTGGCCAGCAGACAACTTTCACCAGAAATGCAAAGATTTATATTGTCCAAAATTCTAGGCATTATATCTTCTGATAACCATCCAACCAGGTAAACTATATTGAATATCATTACATAAAGTTATATCTAATATTACCTCTCCATAACAAACAGTGTTGTTTCTTTTCCTTCAATCTCTTAAATAAAACTCAATAAAACTTCTTATGGATAATTCTGCTGCCTAGATAAAATCTCATATGAATCAACTTTATGTTAGGCCAGTGATGGATAACCCTTTTTGGCTTGGGTGCCGAAATTGAACCCATAATTCAATCCCCCCATGCCCCCCAGTGCATGTGCACATGACCCCGCCCACTGTCCCTCCCCCCACGTATGTACACATGACCCCTCCTGGTCCCGTTTTGGGCCTAGCAGGCTTCACCGAAGCCTCCAGAGGCTGGAAACGGTTTACGTGCCCTCAGAGATGGCTCCACATGCCACCTGTTGCAGGTGTGCCATAGGTTCGCCATCACGGTGTTATATCTTTGATCAACTAGCTCAGTGGCACATTTTCTACATCACTGTTGACAATTATTCTTTGAGATGGTAGAAATATTTGCTATTTTCTTAGAATGTAAGATTTAGACTTGCACAGCAAATATTCATTTAGAACTCGGGTTCTAAGGTTCTCTGATCTGTATTGAGATATTCTAGTGCAGGTAGTCCTCATCTTACAGCAGCTTGTTTAGTGACCATTTGAAGTTACAAAAAAGTGACTNTTATCCCAATTGCCAGAAAATTAAACAAGGTCTAGCACATGTATGGATCACTGCTGATCAAATTTATAAACAGATTCAGTTCAGATGCTAAACCATTTGGTTTTGTTGATGATGTAAATTTCAAGTATACAGTATCAAAAAAAAAAAAAAAAAACCTCATAAAATTTTAAGCCAAATGGCTAATGAGGGGTTCTTGGTGCTCTCTGAGCCTGGTGATTTTCTTGCAGACATTTCATTATCCAAACTAGGCAACATCATCAGTGCCAGTAAGGAGTGGGCTTTGCTCTTAGTTTATATTCTAGTGACTTGCCCTGTCAGTGTTAGTGAGGGTGATCTTGGAGGATCTTTGTTTGGGAGGTGTATAAATAAATAAATAAACACCCAAACACCTTCCACCCAGCAATCAGCACCCAGATGAGCACAGATTAAGTTCAAGATTAACATCAGACCAACAATCAAGAAGTAAACTATCAAGGAACTGCCATACAAGGTAAACAGGAAACAGTCCAACCAAAGAATTTTCAAGACCCAACAACACTGACAGGGCAAATCACTAGAATATAAATTTAGAGCAAAACCCACTTCTTACTAGTACTGGTGATGTTAATTTTACATGCATAGGATAGTTTCCAGAAAAAAACATAGCAGATGCTACATGTTGTTGTTGTTGTTGTTGTTAGTCATGAAGTCATGTCCGACCCATCACGTTGTCCACACCATGGACAATGTTACTCCAGGCCTTCCTTCTTCTACCATCCTCTGGTGTCCATTTAAGCTCACGTTGACTGCTTCAGTGACTCCATCCAGCCACCTCATTCTCTGTCGTCCCCTTCTTCTTTTGCCCTCAATCGTTTCCAGCATTAGATTCTTCTCCAGTGAGTCCTTCCTTCTCATTGGGTGGCCAAAGTATTTCTGTTTCCTCTTCAGGATCTAGCCTTCTAAAGAGCAGTCAGGGTTGATCTCCTATAGGACTGACCAGTTTGATCGCCTTGCAGTCCAAAGGACTCGCAGGAGTTTTCTCCAGCACCATAGTTCAAAGGCCTCCATTCTTTGGTGTTCACCCTTCCTTATGGTCCAACTTTCAAAGCCGTACATTGCAACTGGGAAAATCATAGCCTTGACTATACACACTATTGTTGGCAGGGTGATGTCTGTGCTTTTTAGTATGCTGTCTAGATGCTACATATTAGATGGGATTAATTGTATGTATCTTTCACTTTTTTTCCTCCTTACAGGGAAAAGTTCTTCATCTCTGAATCATCTGCAAACTATAACACTCAAGTTCGCAAAGGGAGACGGGGTACGACGCCTGGGCATGGATTTCCTTTCTACAGAGCCAACTCTGACATGTGTAAAGTTCTGCTCGCAGGAAAAATGTAATAAAAGCACTGTTGTTTTGTTGTATCACTGGCTTGCTGATCCTTTCCCCACCTTTCATATCTGATCTATGTTGTAGTTTTAAAAGGCGGAATCCAGAGCCTTGTCTTTAACAGGGAAGGTAAGACAAAGCCAAATAACTGGTAATTTCCATCCCTTCAAAACAGCATAGCCTCACACAGCTTGATTGGATAAATGTACACTTTGTGCATGCTCCATACTACCATTTCCCATATTTCTATTTCACTTTCTTCTGGCCTTTGGCAAAGAGCCCATATTTTACAGACATTTGGCATTTTTAGTTAAAACACTTCAAGTGAGAAAAACCTATTCCTGAAACCCCGAAGTGGCACAACTAGGCTTAAAGTTTTGATTACCATATTTTTCAGAGTACAAAACGCACCCTTTTCCCCCCTAAAAGAGGGTGAAAATTTGGCTGCGTCTTATACACTGAATGTAGTCCCACCCACCCACTGGCCCCCAACCCTTTGGCCTCTGACTCCCAGCAATTTACCTCTTTGCAGCAGGGGGGCGGGGGGGGGGCTTGCACAAACTTCAATAAGCTATAGCAATCCCTGCTGCCTGAAACAGCTGACGATCAGGAGAAACTGAAAATGAAACTTGCTGTTTGCTCCAAGAAGCAGATTTTTTTTTTCTTGTGCTAATCTGGCTGCAAGGAGGTAAATCAACAACTATAAATGCCTATAGAATGTTCAAATTATTAGACTTATTTTTTAAAGACTGCTTTATTATTATTCTAGACAACTTAACAAAATGAAGCTTTTTAAAATAAATATGCTTGATCTGAAGAGGCCCAGTGCTATTGTTTTAAAAAATGCTCTTCTTTNTGTCTTTCTCTCACAATGAATATGTTATATGCCATATCCCAAATAGTATTTGACCTTCAGAAAGGCAATTTTATCCCTGAGTGTACTGCTATGATTATTATGAAATAAAATAACCACAGCAAATACATTTTAAATATACACCCCCCTCTCACTAGATTTCACTATTCAGAAATCCTAAATAGTACTTTTATGCAAAATCACTTCCAAAGTGAGATAGACTTTGATATTATACTTGAGATGGATTCCCATGTCTGCATTCAACAATAGGGTTTTCAGTGCTCTAGTAAAACACTTTGCCGTGGGCTGCACATAACCAGAATCCCTTTTGTCAAATTTTACTGCTCCCATCAATCCTTCACCCATTCTAGAGACATAGAACATATATCTACAAATAGTCTTTTTAAAAATCCACTCACTCTTTGACATCATGGTGCCATTTTCCACACCACTCCTGTTTTCAGGTGTCTAAAATAGTAAAAGAATGGCTGCTGGTGTAAAAAAATGTGTTTTTTCCTACACTACAATATGTACATCCTATGTGGTTCTCCCTTTAGGAAAGCTTTGAAAAAAGTGATGGAGTTGTTATTTGCTGTATAAGGCCTCACAGCAGCCTTCATATTCATTACTGTCTCCTTTTCCTCCCCTTTAGCCACTGAAGATGCATCTTCTACTTTTGGTGTGGAAAACTTATTCTCAGATTTTGGTTTACTTCAAAAGAGCACCACTAATGTTGATATTGAAAGTCATGGTCACCGGCTCCAAGCAGCTCAGGTCTGATAGTTTATGTAGTTGATCAAAGTCTCTTCTGCTATTCAAGACAATTCTGAAGACTTCTGCTAGCTACCCATCACCTTCTGGCTGCTCTTTAAGTGTTCCATTAAATTTCTACCAGATATATTTCTATCCATAAAGTCATTTCAAGTCTTCTCAGAATGCCCTGAATGATTGTCCATACTCACCAACTAGGAACCAGATGGATAATTGATTGCCTACATATCATCCAAGCGCTTTAAAATTGTGTTGTTATTTTTAATCACAATTGATTGCATTTTAAAGTGCTTCACTAGGTATGGAACAGTGATGCAGATTTTGTTTTCAAGCCAATTTACATTGGTCCAAGTGGCGTATTGAGGATGATATTGTAGAAGTAGACTGGAACAATGTGCATTTTTGATCATATTAAATATCATAACTTAATGGCAATGTTTGTACTCCTGATCTAGCACTTCTCTTGGGTCTATCTTCCTTATTTTGGAGTCTTCCAAATATTTTAGGCACCTGTTTTTATGAACTGTACTCACCATCTAGTCCTAGATGCTGGAAGTTGAAATCCAATGTGTTTGGTTCAAGGTTTTCCAAACTTGGCAACTTGAAGACTTGTGGACTTCAATTTCCAGAATTCCTGAGCCAGCCATGCTAGCTGGGAATTCTGTGAGTTGAAGTCCACAAGTCATAAAATCCACAAGTCTACAAGTTTGGAGACACCTGGTCTAGACAACAGCTGTTTGAAAAAAGATATTCTTGTTTACTACCAAAGCTTTTCATACGCTTGAGTCATCAGTAGTTTCACTTCTAGCAGGGAAAAGCTAGCAGGCATCAGCAGAAGACCTAAATGGCCTTTAATGGGCTTACCTGGTAGAAATTTGGAAACAGGGATTACACAACCTTTAAAAGCATACCAAAATATAAATTGAAAAAAACCAGTGCATCAGAGCTGTGGTGGTGCAGTGGTTAGAATGCAGTACTGCAGGCTACTTCTGCTGACTGCCGGCTACCTGCAATTTGGCAGTTTAAATCTCGCGAGGGTCAAGGTTGACTCAGCCTTTCGTTCTTTCGAGGTCAGTAAAATGAGGATCCAAATGGTTGGAATCAGATATGCTGAGTGTGTAAACCTCTTAGAGAGGGCTGTAAAGCATTATGAAGCGGTATGTACATCTAATAGGGATGCAGTGACTCAGTAGCTAAGACACTGAGCTTGTTGATCAGAAAGGTTGGCAGTTCGGCGGTTTGAATCCTGAGTGCCGCGTAACAGAGTGAGCTCCTGTTACTTGTCCCAGCTTCTGCCTAGCAGTTCAAAAGCATGTAAAAATGCAAGTAGAAAAATAGAAACCACTTTTGGTGGGAAGGTAACAGCGTTCCATGCGCCTTCGGCATTTAGTCATGCCGGCCACATGACCATGAAGANATGCTTGATCTGAAGAGGCCCAGTGCTATTGTTTTAAAAAATGCTCTTCTTTTAAATAACAGAGAATAACTATACTTCCAGGAAGCACATCAATTTTAACAGCATCTGTACAAGTATAGACTGAAATACAACACTACAAACAGTGATATTGTCTGTACTGTTTGTTGCAAGGAGGCAAATTGCTGGGAAGCAGAGGCAGATTTTTTTCTCTTGCTTTCCTCCCCAAAATCGAGGTGTGTCTTATACTTCTAAAAATATGGTAAGTATGAAAATTTTTCCATTTTCATCCAAATGCAGAGAAATTAATATAGGTGGAAGCCTCAAGGAACCCTAGAGCAAAGTCTGAATCCATGCCTTCTAGATATATGTTCATAATATTGGTATTCTAATTCCTTTTAAAAGCATTGTAGTGAATTCATTATTTCTCAGTGGAAATCACACTCCCAAGATGAGACAACCATTAGATCAGTTGGTTTTGAATTCAGGAAGATAATTCCTCCAGTAGCTGAGTCATAATGCTACTGAAATGCCACATTTCAAAGTGAGACCAAATATTTTCTTCATGTTTGGTTCTCCACCATGGGAAGTAGGATACTGGACTGGATTTTCTTCCCATCAATCTAAATTTTATAGCTCAGGGGTGTCAAACTCCTGGCCCATGGGCCGGAACCAGCCCGTGGGATGCTTAAATGTGGCCTGCGGGAACTGCCTAGAAATAGCAAAGGACCAGCCCCCAGTTCCTTTGGCAGCCAAAACGCAGCATGGGGCACCTCCTACAACACCCCCCTCGTGTCCTGTTTTGACCGGCAGATTGCTGCAGGCTGTCTGGGCTGAAAATGGGGCACAGGGGGACACACAGGACCCCTTGTGCCCCATTTTGGCTGCTGGAGGCCCTTTGCTATTTCCAGGCTGCCTCCACAGGCCAGATTTAAGCATCAGCAGACTGGACACCCCATTCTATACCCTTTCACCTGTCTTTCCAGGGCTACTGAATATTACTTCCCATTAATCAGTTGCGTATGGATGGAGGACTCTTCATTTAGAATAAAGAATCTCTGCTTCTTTTGAATTTTTGGTGGTGGTGATGTCTCCCCCACCTCAACTAATACTTGAGGGCACTTTTTGAGGTCTATCCAAGCTTCACCATTATTTCACAGCTTGCGATATGTACCATACAAATTCCAAGGCTATATAATCTCTCGGCAGTTTAGCTTTAGGCAGATCCTCCCATGCCTCCTAAATCAAACATAAATGGCCCTAAATCAATGATCATTCAGCCACATTAAATTATTCATAGATTGTATTCCTTCTTTTTATAAAGAAAACATCAGTCCTTTATGAATTGCCCATTTTTTACAGCGTTAACGTCGCTCTTCTCACCCCCCAGCCTCAAAATAATAAAATAATAATAAATACATTAAAAATCCAAATCTCATATTTACAAAACTCTTACACACGATAATATTCATCAATAATATTCATCAAGTGTTCAATTATTGGATTTGTTTGATAGCATTCCTCTGAATGGAAGCTAGAGACAAAGAATCTATCTTTAATTAAACATTTGAACTGGACTCTTCTGCATATTTTCATGTCAGTTGAGATTTTCTCTCCCTGGTAACTGTGATATAAATGGACAATTGTCTTTTATATAATGAAAAGGGGCTATTGGAGAAGGTGGAGGAAGATAAACATTTTCTTCATATTAAGGTAAAGGTTCCCCTCGCACATATTGCTTACGTTCCCGACTCTAGAAGGCAGTGTTCATCTCAGTTTCAAAGCCAAGGAGCCAGCGTTATCCGTAGGCGTCTCCATGGTCATGTGGTTGGCATGACTAAACATCGAAGGTGCATAGAACACTGTTACCTTCCCACCAAAGTGGTCCCTATTTTTCTACATGCATTTTTTAATGTGCTTTCGAACTGCTAGGTTGGTAGAAGCTGGGACAAGTAACATGAGTTCACTCCGTTACGTAGCATTAGGGATTCGAACTGCCGAACTGCCAACCTTTCTGATTAGCAAGTTCAACGTTTTAGTCACTGATCCACCCTTTGTTCATATTATAACAATGTAATTCACCTAATATTTTCTTTGCCCAGAGATCTCCAAAGGGTTGAGGGAACATGAAGGTAGAATCTTTCACTTTGATTTTGCAACACACTTCACAATGCTTAGTACTATTTTGAGAAACAGGTCTCTGGATAATGTCCAAAGGGTTTAAAAATAATAATAAATGGGAGGTGTGGGCATGAAAAACACTGTTAGGGAAAAATGGCTGAGACTATGACAGAATGAGAAAATCATAGCTAGGATGCCAAATTCTTCATGTATTGCCCACTGAAGTAAGAGTCGATTTATTATATTGGTACAGGTAACACCCTAATTCTTAATGGAAACAAATTCAGAAACATTCTGAAGAAAGAGAGAGAAGAAACATTCCCACACCCAAATCTACTTTCATGTTACAAATGTTGCTGAAGTGTGAGAATCACTTCGTCACTCTCACAGGCTGGTCTTGAAAATAATACTCCTGTTAGTCTGAGAGGCAACAGTTTGAATTCACAAATGCAAAGTTAAAAAGAACATGCTTGTTTTCCACTTCTCCTTTTAATTCGGAGGTTTGTGCCACATCCTGGAACACTCATTCTGCTTGGAGTGGTTATTAAGAGGTATACAAGAACTGATGTCAAAATTGCCACCAGTTCCTTTTTCAGCCCTTGAAGGCCAAATGGAGAGTCAATTATAAAATCTTCATTGATAAAGATGCATTCCTCACAAAAGAAATGTTTAACCAATATGGCGCTCAAAAAAAGATTGTAAACTTGGGTTGGTCACTTGGGTGATTCAATTTACAAGTATCATGACTTATGGCCATGATTAGGGAGGCTTCCATTCTGGTCATAAGTCTAGGACTATTGTTATAAACCAGGGGTCGGCAACCTTAAACACCCAAGGAGCCACAAAGGTCCTAACTGGAAGCCCCCTGTTCAATTCTGGAGCCAAGCAGAAGTCTGGTTCCCCCACCATAGAGTTTCCTCCTAGCACAGCATCCTTTTTCCTCTACCTGCCCTTAACCGAAAGCCCTATCAATTTTGGAGCCAATTGGAAAACCCGCCCCTTGTCCTGGCATGCTGTGCTTCCCCGCCCCAACCGGAAGCTCCTCTTAAAATTGTGGTGGTGACTGGAGACAGGGAGCCACAGCAAAGGGATGAAAGAGCCACACGCGGCTCCAGAGCCGTAGGTTGCTGACCCCTGCTATAAACAGTCCAGTTTCCAGTAATGTTGCCGAGCAACCAACACACCCAAGCAATGAGAATGGGAAGAGAACTATGAAGTCATTGATCAAACCAAAAGGACTCTCATATTTTAGTGTTCAGTGACATACATCCTGACACAGCCTAGCTTGGCATTCAGAAACTGCTTTTATATATTTACATCGATGGCTACAATGCATTTAGCCCCAAAGGCACATTTTCTTCTTAGATCCTAAAAAGAATTATTTCTAGAATGTGGCAGAGTAAACATATGTACATATGGCTTCAGTGGAATAGAAGAATAGAAGGCCTGCAAAGATTTAGGTAGTCTCTTTTGA